TTACTTTTAGGACCAGGAGTGCCAGAAATAACAGCAGGAATGTGTGCACGCACAACACAAACATAACAGACACCCAGTCCTAAATTCATGGCTCCACAGTGCTATTAGTGTTCAAAAGCTTCAGCGACTTACCACATAATGAGCTGCTTGAGATCTCCTGCAAAACAAGTGGGAAACCAATTTAAGCAGCATAAAGAATTTGTAATAAATGTACAGTTTAGAAAAAAATGACATGGCGCTACTCAAATGATGTTTTACCTTGCTTACAGGTCTCTTGTCCGTCTAAAGATGGTATTCTTATTCCAAACTGTAAAGCTATTTTGATGTAGTCCATTGGTACTTGGAGTAACGTTGCCATGAACTTTGAGACATTTGTCACAGCTGCATCCATGAAGCCACTCACAGAGCTCATCAGATTCCCAGAAAGAGAGATACTTGACAGTATATTTATAAAGGTTTGCTGAAGACCATTTAGTGCTGTCGCCACTGACTCCTCCATCCTGAGGTAGGCCCTGGAGAAGCTGAATGACTCTGCATCCCTGTTCAGAGGAGAGCATGTCTGGGATCTCAGAGACGACACAAACGCCAGCAGTGGCTTCCCTAACTCCAGGGACACAGTCTTTGTTAACTCTGCCTCCAGTCCACAGTCCTGCTTCCCAGACAAAATACAGACTAAAATTTTGGGAAGGTCATCTAAGAATCTCTCTCTCAGCAGCGGTTGGAAGAGAGCGTACAGGTTACTCAGTACACCATAGTATGCATCTAATGAAACTGTCTCCTCTGTGGGAGAGAAGACGAAGCTGCGTGTGTTTTCATTTTCACCGGACAAAGAGTGGATCTGGTTAATAACTTTCTGGATGTCTTCCTCTAATTTGGTGGCCTCCTCAGGAGCCTGGTCAGTATGTCTTTGTATTACTTTGGGTTGAGAATGCACTTGCTTGGCATCACATATGATCCCTGTAGATAATGAGAAAACAAACCAAAAAAAACAAAAAAACAACACAATTGTTCATCTACTCTCTGCTATTGTGAAAACTGGAAAGTCAAAACAAATTTAACATATCAAGCACTGTGTGATATTTCTTTTTAATTCTTATTTAACCATTTAATTCCCCATGAGGTTTGAAATGTCTTTGTTTCCTTTTGTTTCCAGACTTGATAAGAAAACAAAACACTGCTCCTTTCTACTAGACTAAAAGTTTCTATTTTGAACTTACCAAACAGGATGCACACCATGTACGCAGCTGGTGTCGACCACATTGTAAGTCTCCTGAGTCAGACGCAAGCAGGCAACCAATCCAGATAGTAACAAATATATTCCGCTTGGTTTTATCCTGTAGATGAGACAGAGCTGTTCAGCTGAGGCAGAAGAGCCGGGTTAAGAACAGGCGTCATACTGGTCTAACTGCACAGACTCAGTGTTCACACAAAAACGCATTGAACCAGCTTGTCGTCCATCCATCAAAGTTCACCTGCGCCCATCATCAGGCCGAGGTGACGCTCCCTCCTCTTACATGCCACTCGACTCAGAGGCCGCAGCCTCTTCACCTCCGCGTCTGCCTGCAACTCTACACCTGCCCTGAAAGCTGCGTAATTAAGGACTCCGGTAAAGGGCGCAGAGGTAGGTGCGAAGCTCAGGCTGTGAAACGCAGAGGGGATTTCGGCAACAAGCTCGGCCATCGCTGCTGAATTATTAACCGGGTGTGTTGATTAACTCCTCCGACTGAAACCCGAGTCCCGTCAGAGCAGCCAGAAGACACCAGACTGACGGCCGGAGGATTTACATGACATGTGCGCAGACTCTGGTAGACAAACTCTAATCCCCATGTACAACCTGATGTTGTCTGAGGGGTGTGATGCAGACATACACGTGAAGCAAAACAAACTGAAATGGCATCAATTAATCCCTCAGAAAAGTTCTATTCGGGGTAAATTATATTACTTTCAACGGTTTTTTTTTTGTACATATTAACGCAATTCAATTGTGAATTCAATTGAGGTGCCAATTTAGAAAACCTCATTCAGGCTTTACAAGATCAAATTTGTACCATAAATGAAAAAAGCCTCTAAGTTAAAAGTTCAGGGGTGGCTTAAATGTTTTCTGCCGAGCTTTACTGTTTTTAAAAACTCTTTGGGAGAACCCCGTTCAAATGAAATCCATTAATTGTTCATTTCAAATCTAAATTTAACAAGTTAATTAAATCAGTAGTCATGTGAAAACAAACCACTCCTCAAAATGAAATGTCTATGTCTACTTTGGTTACTGAGCAAATTCTAAAAGACTATAAATTAAAATTACAGTGCAAACCCTGCTGACATAAATACTCATCAGTTGGACCATTTGAATTGAATAAATCAAAAAGGCACAGGGCCTAAGGTTTGAGTCTGTACATTTAAAGCTTGTACAATCAATAGTCTGTCCCTAATGTTTTAGTCAAAGATGGAGAAATAAACTTAGTGCTACAACTATCTGAGTGTGAGTGTAATGCAACTGTTCCATTAAAATGCATTATTCCTCCTTCGTCCCATCAATTGTCCTTCAGCATCATCGCAGACAGTCGAGAGAAATAAAAACAAAGGGCATGCAAGAGGTTTTAACTTTAAAACTTTGTTTCAGAAATTCAATGTAACTGTATATACACTTTACAATAGCATAGCCTGACGGCTAACAAAGATGTCTTAAAACATTTTTAAATACATCTTCAGCACAAATAGCAGTTCTTGCAAGTAAAATGGCTTAACGGATAAAGAAAAAAAAAATCATTAACACGATTGCTTTTTTTCTGCAGAAAAAGTGCCATGAATAAAATTTAATTCAGGACTCTCCCACAAAGCAAGCTGTATTCTCTACATGCTAAATTTAACAGTTCAGTGACATAGCGCTAAACTAAACATACAGATATTTTTAAGAAAAAAAAAAACACTCCATTTGATGTAAAGTTAAATCTTCATTAATACATTTAAAAAGTAGATATGACATGCCTTTTGAAATCAAAAATACAAAATTTTTTCCTTACTTTAAGGATTTTTTTAAACATGAAGCTGCATGTATTGTACAACACTCAAGTGTACAATAAACTGGTAATGCACATAAAAACGAGCTGGATTAAAAGTATCAAATGCCTCCCACCCATCCTTCACAAACAAGCCATGAGTGATAATCACACATGATCACACCGCCCACTGAGGAGACGAGCACACCTGGGCTACATCACACACTCCAGGTGAGGCTTGCATACTAAAAAGGTGGCAGTTGGGATGGTGAGAGGTCATGGGGGGCAGGGAGGGGACTACCATGTTGGGACCTCAAGACATGTTTCCTCTTCCATGCAACATTGTTCTTGCCTCCTCTTCAACATCTGACTGGCAGATGTGAGCTGGCACCTCTCCTCATCTATTTGCTCTACTTGATGAGGAGAGAACACAACAAGGAATTCGGGAAGACACTTAAAACTTCACCCCATGTACAATTTACATTCATAGTCTGGACATGTGTACTCGTAACATTACGTCAGAGTAAACAATTGTGCCCTGTAACAATTTTACTTGAACACAAACTAATTCTAATTTCTGGAGAGCTACTGACTTCTGGTTAGAAAAGGCAAAGACAGGCGGGAAACCATCTCTGAACAGAACCTGTGTTAAGTGAGCAGCAGGCGTCCTTTGGGCAGGGCACAACAGGAATTACCTGGCAATTTTACTCATGGGGGTGGGGGTGGGGGGTTCTGATGCAATGGAATCACAGTACACAACACCTACTGCACACTGAAAAAAAAATAGGGGAAGGGTGGGTGTATCCAGGTTTCAGTATCGGCAGAGCTTCGAGGTCTGATTGTCTCTTTCCATCTAAGCAATGGGGTGGGGGGGGGGCTTGTGAGGAGCGGAATCGTATGGCACTGTACAAGCAACCCAGACAAATCCAAACACTCACTTTTGCTTTAACATAAAATGCACTTTGATTCAAACTGAACGAGAACTGTAAAAAGTTCAACAATGCATGCCAAATTGTCACAAAGGTTCAAGTTGACTCTTAAGAGTTTGGCCTTTTTTTCGACTGACAGGCATTTGATCTTTCTGTCTTTACCTCGCAGGTTTAGGCTTGTAGGGATGCCAATACAACATCAACATATCTGCCTACTGTTTGTCTCACTATTAAATAAATTAAGTTGAAACAACAGTGGAGTAAAATGTCAGTTTGGCTTGAATGTCCAGGCTGAAGTCAGGCAGAAACACATTCATATAGTTACCATTCTTAAACACAATGCTTTAAACTGTGCTATACAAAAAAAAAGAAAAAAAAAGAAAAAGCTTAAAAGTAAAAAGTATGAAACAGACAGGTAGAGGGGCAGTCAATGAAGCTGACAGTTAAAACAGTATGTTGCTGGTGCCAGATATGGCTGGTACAGGGTCTGGCCATAGATTACTACTATGGCTTGACGTCATGACACACTGGCAGAGATGTGCTACATTAGTCATAATGCTACTGACATAGCCATCAAATTACACACCACAACTAAAAGAAACAGAACTCTGATTTCGCCAGAATACTTGATTAGGAGTAAAAGACAATACTGATTATAGACAAATGAAATACTATTATTAAAGAAAGGCTAACGTTGACACATATCACTTTGAAAATGAATGCCCTCAGACCTTTACAATATGTCAGATTTACAGGTAACAAGATTCTTAATCCTAACATTTAATTAGGGAGCCATGTTGTGTCCAGAGTGAAGCCAACACACTGATTTAAACCTCTAGTTGTTAGAACGAGAACAAACTATACTTAAAAGTCCTGGATTAATTCCATTTCATCTTACTATGCAGTGGACTCATCAATCATTAATATGCAACCATGTTCTCCTATTGGAATAAGGCTTACAATAAAACTTACATGACCCCTTTTAAAACATCATATCTTACAAACAGAAGTAAAACATTTTGAATATGTTACTTTTTTTTTTTTTTTTTTTTTTTTTTTTTAAACAATGAAACACCAGTTTTACCAGAAAAAAACTGCAACCAACAATAGAAACTTGACTCAGCTACGGAGGAATGCATATGATTTTAAAGGCTACAGATTGTAGGTTTGCCAAACACCAAATCAGTGAGTGTGTGTGTGTGTGTGGCTAGGAGTAAACATACACACATGCACAGATTGATTTACAGGCCAGTCATTCCCGCTGAAAACCGTCTGTAGCCACAGAGTGTCGTTATTCATCAGTGTCAACAGCGTGAGCACCAGGGGTCGGTTTGGGTTCAGGGACTCGGTCGGGGTGGAGTTCCTCTTTACCAGGTGGCATTTTCATATCCACTAAACCAGCACCAAGACTTCAGAATTTAGTGTGGAGACGGTATCCGGCTCCACAGCTGGAGAGTCAGTCAAAAAGAGGAGTCTACCTGGGCTTGTTCATAGTGTGTGTAGTTTCATCTATACATTTAGATAATTAGAAAATGTCACCAGGATCTTTAAAAATGTTTTTCTTTTGGAGTTTTTTTTAAAAAGCAATGGTGGATTTAAAAAAAAAGAAAAAGAAAAAGAAAAAAAGAAACAAAAAAAAGGGAAAAAGGCTAAAATTTTAACAGTAATGGCAATGTTGTAGTTTGTAATCCAAAGAAGGGCTTTTTACACGCATGTTGTTTTCAGTTTTTTCATGTTGTCCCGTTCTGAGAGACTGTGATCCAGTTCAATCAGGGGGCAACAAGTCGTGAAGCCGGAACCGTTCTCGAACGTGCGGCCGCACATCCTCATTCTGACGAGTTCAGCAGGCAGGAGAGAGATTAAAGAACCAATTAGATTAATAAAATTAATAGATTACTCAAATGGTAAAACATTACTCTGATGGAGCTGCTGCAATAGGTCCTACATTAACTTCTGAGGAGTAAGATGTCTTACCATCTCAACCAACTTCTCCAGGAAGGGAACCAGCTTCAGCAGCTCATTGTCATTCTTGTCCATGAACCAGCTCTCTATTGGAATCCCATTGGACAACTGTCAAGACAAACAAACAAGACGACAAAAAATAAAAAATAAAAAACATGTCACTTGCCATCACATGATTAACTTCTTTCTAGAATTGAAACCACAATTCCAAATTAAAAAAAAAAAAAAAAAATCACCTCAAAGTTAATAACAGGGTATGATTGGACAGTCGACTCAAATATAACACCTTAACGTGCAATTTCTAAGAATAAATTATTGCACTTTAATGAGATATTATGTTAACCTTCATGGAAAACAAGGTGAAGAGTTGTATCACACAGGAAATGCCACATATCTAGTAGGGTCTTGTTTAGAGAGTCATCTGGTAAATAATTTAATGTAAGCTGCAGCTGATTCAGTTCAGCAGGTTACAATGACTGATCAACATCCTATGTTTGCTTTGGGGTAATTAATCAGAGCAGCACATGACAATATCAGGAAAAAACATTCTGGGTCTTTACAATGTGGAAAACTTGGAACCAAACAACTGAGCACTTTCTGGTCAGACACCAGGCTGAAGTTAGTCTGATAATCACCAACAGAATCTGCAGTTGTACCAAGTTTAAAAGTTTTGCTCCATTTTAAGACTGTCATAAAAAATGACAATTGCCGATATTTGTTGTTAACCAGATAAAACGAAACCGCTAGTGTTATTTTTTTTTGTTTAGGTGTTCACCTGATATGCAAAGGCTTGTGGTGAATTGTCGATGATGATGGTCTTTGACAGATCTCTGCCTAAGATGTTGAGGTCCTTGATGTAGTTTCCTTGGACGCAAACACAATGTTCACGAAACAACCTGTGTCTACAGTTTCAGTGGGGGATGAAAGGAAAGACACAGGAGAAGAAAAAATAAAATCAATCCGTGACAAGGTCAGTGCAATCAATAATTCAGACAAACCACAACACTGACACCTCAACGGTGGCTCTCTTCATTCAGGCTTGCTTCAGCTTTTGAGTTTGTTGTGTAACTATAAAAGACTGACACAAAAGACACCATACCTCACTAGCTGCTTTTTAGGATCCAAGATGTTGAGCAGTTTGTCTGCATACACCTTTTTAGAGGCTGTAAAAAGGATGATCTAGAAAAGGAAGAAGACAAAGGTCAAGGTTTTCTAATCTGATGCAATTAGGACTTATAAAGGGGAGTAGCCAGGTTATATTTACCTCATAGATTTGAGACATGCGTTCCAGAAACTCTCTAAAGAAAGGCCGCAGGCGCACATACACCTGCACATGAAAACAGACCACAGGTAAGCAAACATTTATGATCAAAAATATAACAAGGTTAACTGCAGGCCATCACCGTGAGAGACTAGAAGTGAATCAAAGATTATAACCTCTTAATCTTGACAAAAAAAGTATTCCTTTTGGCATCTGTTAATCGAATGGTTCCTCTATGACAAGTGTGTCTTTATTCAAGTACACTTTCCTCAACATGAGGTTTTTTTTCAAATATAACTTTAGCCCCCTCTAGTGGAAGAAACTACAGGAAACATTCCTGTGAGGCATCACTTACCTGGTAAATGACATCCTGAAAGAGAACAGGGAAGGTAAGTGCTGCGTCCTCCAGCTCATTCAAACTACAGTGAACCAATGTTTCATCCTACAGAAGAAAACAGACACAATATTGGGAACCTTTCCAAATATCTGCAGTGTTTCAAATATGACAGCAATAAAACAAATAAAGAAAATATTTGTTGTACACTATAACTGACCAGGTCTAGGACCAGAGAGAATTCAGGTGTGCTGCGTGTCTTCAGTGGCAAGGCTGGTTTACGAGTGAGCTGCTCTTCTGTCAGTGGAGGGACGTGCTTGATGAAGAAATACCTAGGTATCAAAACATCCCATAAATCTCATCAATGTAAAACCACGGTAGTTAACACAGGCACAAGACAACAGTGAATATGAGAACAACTACGACGACTTGTTAGCTATTATGTTAGAGTGTCCAAAAATGTTTAATACAAAGTTTTTATTCTATAATAATATTAGTTCAGATTCCCACTTATGTCTCTCAAAGTATCTATGGCATAGGTAAATATAAACCAAAGGCAATGATCAAAGTAATTTAATTAATCTGCTAGGAATAAAGGACACGCAACTGTACAACACGATCAATCAATGTTAAATCATAAATCAGCAATGTGTCACCATTGTTATTAACTTGGGAAAGATTATTTTTAATTTACCCAAAGGCATCACACCTGGTGCCTCTGGATTGTACACACAATTCAAAGCCTGCTGTCACAAACAAATGTCCTGTTTATATATTGCCAAATGCACAAAACTGTAACAGATGGGTCAAACTAGTTGCATTATTGTAGGTTAGGGTGTCAGGTTGGTGGTCCAGATATCGTTTGCCTTAATTTTAACATTGACTTGGCCGAATCAAATGCCTGGCTGTACTACAATCAGTCCCTTGCTTCTCCCAAAAGCTTGGTTAAACTACCTCACCACACTTCCCATTCCAAATATCCTCATTTGGGTTTTGTTGTAAATTTTGTTCAACGAGGTTTCGCTATAGGACTATGCATTTTATCATGATGCTGTGTTTAACTCACGGGTCAAAGACTTCCCAGTCTTCCTCATAGGATGCCTCTGGTGGTACTGCAGTGGGCGGAGAGTCCACATATGCCATATCTGGACTGGAACCTGGAGCTTCGACCACAACAAGAACAAGTTGCTAAATGAACTTACTTTATTATTGTTACCTCAACATGAAGGAAAACTCCTAATGTTTCAGAATCATGTTTTCTTAGCTGTAGTATCTCTACCTGTAAGCGGTGGAAGGTCGGCATCTGCATCAAGCTCCGCCTCCTCCGCTGTGGGAGATGCCTCTGGGATGTGGGGAGGTCGCAGAGGTGGCAGCTGTGATACACTGGAGTAAAAGTTAGTGGTGGCACACAGTTCCTGTGCAGATGTGGCTGTGCTGGTGGGTGTCTCCACAGCTTGCTCCATGTCCAGCTGCTTGACTATCTCCTCTGCTTCCAGTGCCTGGTCTGGAGAGTCAGAACCAGAGGAGGCTGAAACACAAATACAACAAAGAGGCGTTAGAGCTGCACAGTATACTATATTATACAGTGGAGGAACATTAACATATTAGTATGAATGTGATCAAGCACTTACAAAAAGACATTTAATGACACCATGAGTAATATTGTGGTTACAGTGTCAACTGCATCCAAAAACTAGAGAGCAGCATGGCAGCACATTGTTGTTGCTATAGTGAGATAGTAAAAGATGGTGCTTAATGAAAAGGAAAAACAGTGCAACACTGTATGCCTTCATACAGTGTGTGCTGCAGACTTTCACTAATACACTTTTTAATGTGATTTGTACAAATTCAGTCAACCATATTTTATTTGATATATATAATCATATTCACAATTTTCCGTGTATATTGTATGTTGGGGGGCAGGGGTATATATATCTTTAAGCACCTTAAACATCTCTCCCCAAAATATTCCCAATTCAGGGCATGGCTAGAATATGTGGGTATGGTTACCAATTTGTGTGCCACAATTTGACCTGTTGGACCCATTTTAGCCATTTTTTCGGGTGTCCATGTGTTTGAGGGTGTTACTAAATGAAAAAACAGGAAGTTAATGTAACCTATAGGACTATTTATCTCTATCCTACGGTCTCTCAATCATTATAACATGTACAGCAAAACACACACATAGACATGGACACATGTAGACGCAGATGCTGTGGTCTCTGTTTATGATGCTCTCCATGAATCAAACAGGCTTCCTGAGGGTCTGCTTACCATTTTTAGCTGGTGAGAAGAAGTTGAAAACAGGGGAGAAGATGGTCCCAAGTAGGGTTGTTCTGGGAGGGCTGGTGGGCACCTCAACGGCCGTCGTCTCCTCAAGGCTGCCATTGGGCTTCTCCTTACTCCTGTCATGATTGGTTGCCTCTGTTGAGAAGAAGAGACAGGTTTGAGAGAGTTAACAGAGACAAGTGGAATACTCTGCAGGCAGGTATCAACGATGTCCTAGTGCTGTTGTGCAGCGGTCAGCACTGTCGCCTCACAGCAAGAAGAGTGCTGCTTTGCATGCATCGTCCCCAGCCCACACAGGCCTGGAACTCAAATAAAGACCGATGATTAGGTCCCCCCCCCCAACTCACGTCCATTGATGGAGCCTCTCCTTCCAACCCTGCTGATAGTCCTGCGGGGGGTGTTGGTGTTTGGGGTTGTAGAGGTGATCAAGTTGTTGTCCACATCACAGTGGAGGCGTGTCTTCTTGGCTGGGCTTTCCTGCTCCACCTACAGGAGACAAGACAAAATACAGTAAACAGTTGTAATCAGTCACTAAAAACAGTCACATCTGATGGTGATCTAAACTTAGGGACCTATGACTACAAATCAAATCAGAATGTGGCAAGACATGACACAGAACCTTGTAACACACCAACTTTGTTGTTTTTTTTTTTCTTTAATTAACAAGTGTAACACGAGTGGTGTGTTGTCCTGTTGACATCATAGCACTACAATTCACCAGAAATCAATCGCACAATCCGACGTGCTACAACATTGACAGTGTGTAGTTTGACTCAAATTACAACCTTATTACACCCATCTTGCATGGTACGAAATGCAATGAACGTTCAAGATCACTGTTGTCACACAGTTTACAGGTGACTTAAGATATCAATGGTCAAAAAGGCAGACTAGTGGAAACATAAAAGATTTTTCTTCAATTGACTTGTGAGTGAGTTAAACAATAAATAAAGATAGGCAGTAAAAACAAAGAATATGATAAAAGTCTTAATTAAGACTTAATGAGGAAATACGTGGCAGACCATGAAATAACAATAATGAGTAAAAACATGAAAAATCCCCCTCGCCTTTCAAGAGGAAAAGCTCCTTTTAGCCGAGTTGACTTTTCCACTTGTTACTACCTCCTGTCCCTGCACACCAACTCTGTGAGCCAAAAGCTAAAATTAGACCCGAGTCCGAGTTCTCAGACAAGCTGCTGCATTCCTCCAGACATTTCTTTGGGAAACATGACACTCTGCACCAAGAAACACTGTATTTAACTCAACAGACCTGGAAAGCACAGACTAAATAGAGTTTTAAAACAGAGAAGTGACAAAAAGCTTAGGTAACACTTGTAAGCAAAACACACTGACAGGAAAAGGACAACTTCTTTTTCAGGTACAATTTTTCAATGCCTCCAGAAGGGGCACCACACTCATTTGCATTGAATTCAATTAAACAGCAAGGTCATGCGATGTGATCATAGAGGTAGTTACCTTAACAGCATTTCCTCTGATGAACTTTTTGATGGTCGAGAACAAGCCCCTCCCTCCACTAGTAGGAGTGTCCTCTTCTACTTCTGAATGCCTCCGCTTGGTCCGGGACGGGCGGCTTGCCACACTGGGGTTCGGCTGCTGAGACGCCTTACGCATTCTCAGCCTCATTGTTTTAGCAGTCACATGTAAGGCTGTTTCAGAAAATCAGAAATTGGGAAAGACAGAAGGAAGAGAAACAGGGGAAATTAATTAAACTATGCACAGTCAAGGAAATAAATCTAAGCAAATACTGAGTTAACAGTGGACCAACAGGTTGTTCTAACAATCTCAACTGTTGGATAAGTCTGTGGGATGTATCTATGTGTACTGGAGTAATACTGGTGCATTTTCTGCCAACATCTGGATGCATTCAAGATCCCATTTCACTTACATCACAGTGGATCACGGCAGCCACAGCTGGCTTTACTTCCATCATTCTACGAACACTCCCTACTATTAACTACATGCATGCAAGATTAATGTTTAAAATACAGAAATTGAAATAATTTTATGGACCGACAAAGATGTAAAATGTGGCTAATTTGACCCAAAACTTATCTGACAGAAATACATTACTTATTTTCCAGAGTTGAGGGATTTAATTGGTCAGCGTTGTCCTCAAGTTTGTACAGGAAAAACGAAAAACTATTCACAGTCAACACAAATTGTCAGTCAAGCATGCCAGCCCTTTGCGCTTACGTAACAGCAGCTGGCTGAAAATGTGTCCGGACATATCCACAACCTGTCAGGAACCCAAAAAACACAATAGCACCTTCTCAATACATATTATACATCTCACATACTGTAAATGCCCTTCACTACATCTGCTTTACATTTACACAGGGGTGTATCCATGAATGCACAAGAGGTGTGGGCCTACGTACTATTGCTCAATCACATGGACACAAAAATACAAACAGGCACTAACAGCATCAGAGTACATGGTTACGTTAAATTAAAAGCCACAGGCAGGAAAAGTGGAACAAGCCTCAAAGTTGTGACAGCCCAGAGTACTAAATAAATTAACAGATCAAGAAAGTGAAATGACATGAATGTCAATGCCAAACACCAGCCACACAAACATTTTTGAGAAGACACAATATAGCTTTTAAATTAATGTCATTTTTCAAGATTTAATATTCAAGATTTTAATATTCTGAGATCATTTTGGAAAATATAAACAGTGCAAGTTTACTTTTGTGAGATAAAAAGCTGATTAAACCAGAGAGTAGTGTCAATCTTTTATCCACCTCTCTAAAAAAGTCAAGATCAGAAAGATCAGATCTACAGACAAACTATCAGTGCCTCTTTGGAAAGCAATTGCTCATTTCCATCATGTCTTATCTATCCACCAAACAATTCTTTCACGTTGTATACACTGTGAAGACCTCTCTTAATGCCTCTGTGATTTTGGAAGTCATCTATCCCCTAACATAAAACCAAAACAATTTCTAATTTGGGTAGACTTCACAGCACTGACACCTTCCTTAATAAATTAATTGTGTCCGTAACATGCAACTCTGGTAAGATCATATTACTTATGCAATTCAATGCTGCACTAATCACAATACTTTTATACAGGCTAGACAGTTTATGTTTACCTCCCTTGTCCAATCCAGAATTGGTTCAAAAGCTACTTGACAAACTACTTTGTCTAATACCCTACCAATTCTCTAATGCTTCCCATAGACTATGTAATACAAAAAAAACACAATGCTACAATATTGCTCATTTGTTTAATTTTCACAGTGAACTGTCTACATAGCAGTAACGCTTTACAGTAACACTTCCAATAAACATGTCAGTGAAGCTCGTCTTTGTTTTTTTTGCTAAGACCATCAGAGATGCTAACTCAATGACACGGACACTTAAAGCTGCAAAATTAAGGGTTGAACATATCCCCATATTCCACAGGTTAGTCTGCATCAATATATCTGAAAGTCTTTTTATGATCATTGCTTGTTTATGCCAATGCAATATATCTGTGTGTTTGATAAATATCCCCATAATTTTTTAACACTTTCCCCTCATCACATTCCAGTTTTTTTTTTAAATAACCAAAGCACCAATAGTTCAAGCTGTAACTATTTGGCCCCATGTAGTATTAAATGTGTAAACCTAATATGTTAAAAACTGACAGATGCTGCAAACTGTTATTCTTCCTGACTTTCTAATGTATGAGACTGTCCCTGTAATGTATAAAGTCTCTCATACAGATGTTGATCTTATAGATATTACTACATCATGCCATTCACTTGCACTTCATGCTATTCTTGAAGTCTTTTCATTCTTTCCTTACATACTCTCGGGATTTGTAAACGATAGTATATACACAACACATTTCGGTTTTTCTCTTGCTGCTATATAAAATCAAAATTAAGTGCCTATCAAATTTAGTTGCTGTGTGATCAAACCTCGCATGATAGCAACATCATAGCTGCTAAACATCTACCTTACTGAGAAATCTCCCACTACCCAAGGATCATGCACATAGCTAGGTACGAGCAAGTGAGCGGGAAATAAGAACATGCATGCCACTGAGACTGTATGAGCCAGCTAGCAGACGCAGTGGAGAGACAAGTGAGGCCCTTTCTACAACCCCGTCCACTCTGCAAAAACTACTCCGATAAGGATAGCTAACAGACTTAAGAGGTGGCTAATGCATGTACCATAATGGACGAAATTAAAGTTAAAGCACATGACACGTCTGGCCAAGCTGCCTCACTAGTGCCCAAAACAACGTTAGTAAAAGTTGCACTTTATAATCACGACTGCCAAGCATTTGAGCTAATCGAGCAGCTAGCTCGTTTGAGCTAACGCTACCTAAAAGAACTACAAGAGGTCGTGTGTAACGCGTCAGAAGTTATGAAGGTGTGCAAAGTACAGTTTCTTTTAACACTCTCAGATTTTAAGTGGCACCTATAGGTAACGTTACACTGTTCATACAATACCAGTCGGCACTTAGTAATGTTAACGTTTCAACAAGGCGAGCCCAAGCAGGCTAACTTACCGTTAGCAAGCCAGTGCGGCATCGTTAGTTGAGCGAATTAAGGTTAAAACAATGAGATAAGGTAAGGGACATCAGTTAGATGACCAATGTGAAGTTTCCTGTGCAGTTTGACTCAACTGTCTCCACGAATTTTGTACAGTGTTAACGTTTACGCCGTTTTGACAGTAAAACTCATCAGGCATCGTTAATCAAAACAGCTAACAGACAGTAACGTTATCCAAATGCTCCGTTGATCCAGTCAGCGTTATCTTTGCCGAAGAGTGCAATTGATGAGATTTCATTTAGCAATTGTGGTATACGAGCATATACAACTCAGCACCCGCTGGAAGGATATTAAATGTGGAGGATAACGTTGGCTAGCTAATGTAAAGCTAGCAAAGTTCAGTTGTGGAATGCCAGTTTGGACGAGGTTAGCCTCGATGCAAGCTAGGAGACTCAACCTGGCGTTAGTTCGCGTTAACTATTCATTATTTAACAACATGTAGACAGCTCCGCTTTGTATGTATATTCTAGCAGGCGTCTGTAGACTGGTTTAGTTACAAAGAGCACAATGAACCTAAATTTTGATCGAGTCGACCAGGAATTAGCCAGGTCCGAAGTAGGCCGTGTTTTAGCTGCACTTAGCTATGTAACCTAGCTTAGCACAGATAGCTTAGCGTTAACCTAACCTAGCCTTCTACAAAAACTGCTTCGGGCTAACAGATGTGCACAGGCAGGGAAGGAAAATATTTATCCTGTCGTTAGCCAACATTACATAAACCGCAAGCCAAAGAAGACAAATGCACGACGAGGGTTGGTTAACGTTACCGACTTACTTTACAGTGATCCGCAGTGTCTGGAGATAACGACTCAAGACCGATTAACCATCACAACTGAGGAGGTGGTTGTTTTCGTGATCTGTTCCGACTTTTTCTGTGTCTACTCAAGGGCCGTCTCCGAAATGACACACCGTTGTGTTACCAGGCGCCATTTCCCGCCTCTGCTCAGTCTCTCCGAGGCAGATACCCGTATGGGACACAGACACACCCCCTTACCTCTCAAAAACACCAGCCACAGTCCGCAGCGAAGAGTATCACTAGTCTTTTCTTCTTCCAGCTTCGTTAAAGGTGGATTGACCATGTTTGTTGTTTCTCTTTTACAAATATTCGAACATTCATAAAATATGTTGTATATACTCAACAGATATGGTAACATTACTGAAAAGCACAGGACAGTACATTTATGAAGTAAAGGCTCTCAGGTGCTGGACACCTATGACAGTCTTTGCAATTAGAAAGCAGATTACTTATTTTTAACATTGAAAAGTTGGGTCATCAGGGTAATCTTTTCGCCACTATCGTTTTTTCATCTACATTGACTCTAAAGCATTATCACAACTGACAAGTGACATGAAGCATCACCTTTAATAAAATTAAATTACATTCAATCTGCCTTTCCATGAGAAATCAATTTTCCGGGCTGCACAAACACAACTGATTTCATGTTAACGGATTTTCCTAAAGGTGAGGAATTGGGTTTCCTCAGTACAAATGGTAACAGTTCAACTACATTATGTACAAGAGACCTCATTAATGGAAGCATGTGTACAGTATGTCAGTTCCATGTGCTTAGTTCATCTTTGCACACTGTGGAGGATCCTAACATTGCTCTAAGTATTGCTTAAGCATCAGTATTTTGCTCAATTTGATTATTAATAAAAATGTTTTAAATGCATGCAATGGCATCATTAAGAAAAAAAACAATGAGGAGCACTTTTTAGTGTCTGTCATAAAGAAAAAAAATTGATTTAATAGGCCATAAGAAGTGTCCTTGGCATTTGTAATGTATTCCCATTCCTGTAAACAAAAAAAAAGGTCTTCCATGTAAGAGTCCCAAAACAACGTTGGAAAGACAGAATGCCGAAATAGTGTCTTTGATAAACATCTCGAGTGAAGAGTTTGTTTATATGAAGCAACAGCAATCTGAAAAGAAAAGTAGCAAAAACAAAACACAGTTCGACCTTGGAGTTCAGATGTGGGTCAACAGAGCTTATTTGGACCACTCTGTTATGAACTGAGGCAGTTATCAAATAACAAATCTCAACAGTCAATGTACAGTATATCATCTCTACTCCCTTGGAACCATTAGCAAATCAAGAGCAGCTCAGGACAATGCCATGATATTTTTTTCTTTGTATTTTGTTGTTATTCAGAATTAATTCATTAGTTGCAATGTCTGTTCAGTCCATGACATTGAGGATGCACCATATAAATTCTTAAACATACTGATGTTCAAACTATTTCTCAAGAAAGACCTTGGCTGTAGAGGAAGGTCTGAATATTTTTTATGAGTTACGGCTGTACAAGTTCCAATTCAAAGAATGTCAATGGCTTGATGTCTTTTTCCATAATCCACAGCCCGATCTCCCTGCATGTCCCGATCATCATCATCTGGAAAAAAAGAAAGCAACACAAAAATTAGAGCTTAAATAATAGATAATACCCAATGAAGTGCTGCAAACATACTCCATTACCACATAACTTATATTATTGCATAACGTTATTGCATATGAATGAATATTTTGGATATGATTCTGCACAACTGGATTCCAGGTTAAACTGCTGACTTTCAGCCTTAGTATGGGCCATTTTTGTACATAGTTCTCCTGATTTAGCAACAATGTATTTATCTAGAAGAAATTTATTGAGAGGATACATATAATTTTGGAAGGAAATATTTCCTACAACCTACAATATTATCTTTGTTGTTGGTCACTGCAATCCTATACGTTTTAAAAAATCATACAGTATACAAACTGAACAGTTAAAACTCATAATAAATAAAAATGACAAATCTTTACCATACTCTTATCACCGGGCAGACAGACTGAAATTGTTTTTGTTTTCTTTTTTAGATGGACGAAAACAAAAATAGCTCTCTCCAAATGCAGTATTGTTGCACTCTAATCAATTATTGAAATTCTAATCTAATAGGTAATCAGATATTCATGGCAGGAAACAATCACAGCAAAGAAAAAAAAAAACACTCCAGCATGCATTTCAATATATCAAGGAGAACACAGACACATTCACGAACACAGTGAGCTATATTTATCTACTGGTCTAGATGTGGGTCAGATTTTTGGTGGGCACAGACAGGTGTTATAGCTAAAAAGAAGCACAGGCAGGAGAGAAGAAAATACTAGATGGCAACTGATTTACTCTCACAGAACCGTAAGTTCCTGGGTCAAGTTTTCACTTTATAGGAGAACTTGGTGCCAAGATTGTTATTGTGTCTATACAATACAAAATGCATAACACAATTCAGTCACTCAACCTGAACTGCATATATAGCAGTCCTGCTTTGACCCTAAAGGTGTTCATAATAATTCTTGAATATCTATAGTTTATGATGGATTCAAGGACCAAACTCAGGGTACTGTGAGCTACTGTAACTCTTGGGACAAATGCAAGGGGCGGCAGCAGGACAGGGGTGGAGGGAAGGAGCAAGGGAGGAATGGTGGATACACATCTGAACAGGCAGTCCAGTCCCCGGGCCTGGCTCACCTTGAACGTCTTCCTCCCCACCATCACCATCCTCTTCCTCATTGTAGGCCAGCTCAGCCTGCTTGTCGGCCTCATACTCACCCACGTTCCCATCATCCCCATTGTAGTCCGCTAGCTTAGAGCCGTGTTGCGGATCTACTGGGGACTCGTTCTCATCAAAGAACCGGCCTGCAGGAGGCAGAGAAGGGCCTCATCAGGAAGGGAGGGAAGCGGAGGCAGTTGAAGGGAGACAGGGAGGAATGGGTGGAATACTGCATAATGAATGCATGAAGGAATAGGTGATCGCATGGAGAGTATGATTGAAGATAAGGAAGATGAGGTGAATGGATACACAGTGGCAGATTTTAATTTGAAGAAGTGCTTCTGAAGAGTAAAGGAAAGTCAATCATGGACTTGAAAGCAGAGACTGAAAACAAATGGGGTTCCCTTGTAATGAGGGCGTGTTAAAAGTGTGGAAAGCACTGAGCACCAACTGAGTTACTGGTTTAGTCATCTGTACAATGCAATCAATCAACAGAATACAATAGCCCTGGGGTAAATCCCATCATATGTTTACTTTTTGTTGGTACTGTGAGGAGTGTCGATTCAACTCAGGGGTATTTATAAGGCCACAGATACAGTAAGTGTGGTGTTTTATTGAACTGCATTATATACAAAAAGTGTTTCAAACATGTTGTCCACCTCTATGAATATATGTGATGAAGACAGGTTATTACAAACAGCTGCAGCTTCAGATACAGAAGCCTGTTTGGAATGGCCATTCAACTTTGAATGTTGGAAGAGGATGACTGTCTTTCTATATGCTATAAACCAATAGTCAATATGTATAGGATGCTTTTTACTGTCGTTTTACTGGATATGAACAAGTCACAGTGGAAGAGTGATGCATTTTCCAACCTTGCAATTTCCAATATTTTTCATTGTTTCAACTGCTTTAAGATTGAACAGTGAGCATTTCGTTATTACAGCTGATCATATTGGAGACAATTAAATTGAACTAGCACCAACAGGGCAATTCAAAATGACTTTAGAGAGTTCTAAAATTGCCAATCAGAAAAACTGATTATAAAATATGTACAATGTATAAATAAACACTCAAATAGCATTTTTACTGCCTGATCTATAATAGCTGCCTGGTATCTATCACACAAGCGTCTGCAGCAGCTTATGTTCGTGTGTAGCACCGCACAGATTTGAGATGGCACCGTTGATCGCGACAGGACTGGGTGGGACTCGAGTTGCACTGAGCCAGACAGTATCTTCAGACTGCTCATGCCTAGTAACTACCAGACACTGCCAAAAATGAGACATCTGGTGGGTGTCGGGTGTTAATTTGCCATAAAAGGATTCAAGTATGAAGAGATCATAGGAAAGATTAGAGGAAAAATAAAATGAAGACGTGAACTGAATACAGTGAGAATTTTCAGCAGCAGGACTGCAGAGGGTGAGATGGATGTGTAAGGGAGATGAAAGAACAGAACATTTGAAAACAGGCAGAAAATGCAGCAGAGCAGAGCAGAAGCCAGGCAGCAGGAAAGGATCATCTGGGAGCCAGGTGTGTGTCATTTGTCTCCTCTCCTCTGCAACTGAGCCTTCTCTCTACCCCTTGACAGTGTTCCTACCCATATTCAGACAAGACTTACATTCAAACACATACTCACAAATTCTAACTTTCATGAAAATGTGTTAATTATAAGTACAGGTGTCACCAGTTAGCAATGGGCAAAATTCACAAAGATGGCACAACACCAAATTGCGTTTTACTCTCTGCGTTGACACATTACAGAGAGCTGGGAGGCAGCAGCTAAGCACAAAGGCAGAGCTAACAAGAAGAGCTGTGATTATGCTTCTTTGTTATTTTCCCCCATCCCTTCAAAAACAATCACAAGTCAACGAGTTAATAAAGAAATGCACCCCCTCCGACCACTACCAGCCTTGCCAATTACAGTATTCCCTTTGTCAGAGTGTGGAAGAACTCACTTTGGCGGTGGTGTACTGGCTCTGCAGGGACTTGGTCTTTGGCGTGGTGAGGCTGGATGGGGTTGGGCACCTGGGCAGGGTTGGGGGGCAGAGGAATCCCCTTCAAGTGTTCATTGTCACCCTTGACGTTATCTGGAGCTGACATTAACAAAGAGACTTAGGTGCGGTTGTATATATGATGAATCAAATATCAAAGATCAAAATGAGCAAACCACCCCCTCACCTGCTATGACTAAATCTCCTGAGTTACAACATGACTGTATTTCACAATAAAAGGCAAATCAATGACTGTTAAACACTCTTAAATATTCATGTCATATCCATGAAGCTCAGTGTGGTAAACCTACGTTTGTTCTTTAATACAGGACCTGAGGTTTTGAAAGATGTTACACATTACACAATTCATTGAAAACTATAGACAATAGATAACAGTTTGCTGCTTCACCTAACTAAAGATTCTGTCAATGAAAGAAACATAATTAAAAGCATTAAATCAGTAAAGCTATATTTCAATGAATTTTGAGAACTAATTATCCCATATCTAAAAGCTCAAAAGACAGACTATTATATCTTTTATAATTCTTATAGTTATATGGATGTGGTGCATTCTCTACCTCGAAGTTGTCTTTGCTGTTCTCCCAGCTCGTCTGCCTTGATACCTGCCTTGTTGTCTTCTTCAAACACTATCGGCTTGTCTGCCTGTTTGATGATGGCTGGAGGTGCAACCACTGCTGCTCGGCCCTCCACTCTGTCCTGCTGTAGCCTGGGCTGGTCCAGGGACAGGCCCTGGCCCCCCGGGCCATCAGCTGCCCCGACTCCAGGTCCAGCACCAGCTCCCACAACCACATCAGGGGCCTCGTCATGTTTCTGAGTGATGGCTGGTTTCTTCAAGGCTGTAAATAAATGGAGTGACAAAGTGAGAAAGCAAGTCCAAGTAAGTCCATTTTGATGACTTTGTGTTTTATTTGCCACAAGGACAGAATTACTGTAGGCATCTGAAGCCACAACCTAAGAAAAGCTGTTCAGTGACATATAAGAGACCCTGACACAACTCTCAGAACAATAGTAATTGATTGTGAGTCACATCTATATTTCGTTTGGCCAATCATTTTTCTCTGGTGTTGGTTTAAATTTCAAAGTTTGTACACACAGGGGTTCACTTCTCTCATCAGTGTCTCTTTATAATTCCCTAACCTAGTCGCAGGTTAAAATTCATTAGGCAGCAAATTTGTATGAGTCTATATCTAAAACTTAATTGGCCAATACACTGGGATCGCGATTACTGTTTAATTTAACATTGTATGTCAACATAAAAATTGCTCTTGAAATTTTAGGTCCACTACTTACCGAATTGCACATCATCGATTTTTCCCACCTCACTGTCTTCAATACCAGGCATGCCAGCATCACTGCCAGGCTTACCCATCTCTTCTGTAACAGAGCAGAAGGAATGTCACTTAGGTAGCTGATAGGTTGACATTAAAATTGTCTGAAGAGTAGTGACATAAACAGGAACATATGCAGGAAACTAAAAGACTAATTACCATGTAAATGACATTTGTGCAAGATTTATATGAGCATTTGTTGCATGTGTATTTTCTCCTAGTAATTAAATATTGCATTTACTGTGTAAGCACATAGCAAGAGAGGAAAAACAGTCAAGACGTATAGGCCTTGGTTGACTTATCCACATCCACTCTACCCTTTAAATCTGCAGTGTTGTGTCGGTGAGTGGCCACTGTATGGCGCTCTCCAACCATCTCCACACCAGGTGCTCCATCTGCATGTCTACCTGCCACTACACCCTTTTGGCCGTCCAATACACTCTGCAGAATTGTCAAAGGTGAATCAGAAAAAGAAGGATATGGAAAATAGAAAAAAGAAAACAGTGTAATGAAGAGGAGAGCTTTAACATGAACAGAAACAGAGGAGAATTAATTGAGGTTAGCTGCTACCATCATAACATTTGTGTGAAAAATGTGAGAGTAGTGAATACATGCTGCAGTTCTGAATAAATGCAATGTGTACCAAAGGCATAGGGCTCCTTGACACAACCTTTCACTATTTACTTATGAGCCACAAGAATGTTCACTATTGTGTTTGTCAAAACTAACCTGTCTTAGCTTTGATGCTTCTTCCTCCAGGGTCTTTTTTGATTCTTCATACTCGTCTTTCAGTTGTGCAATCTGACGTCCACACTGTAAACTAGTTAACACATATTCCTCCTAAGTTCCACCCACATCATCTACGATTTTTTTTTCACCAGACTATAAAATATGTAATTTTTGCAAACAGGCAAAAAATTAATTCTTGAAAAACTGCAATAGTGAGAGCTATAACTAAAATCGTTAAACCTCCTAGTAAAAATGAAATAAACGTGAGATTAGATCAGACAAAGAAATAAGAAACAAAGATAACCAATGACCTAATATCACCTGATTATAGTGGAGATACAATTGAAAAATCAATAACTGTCGTAATAATGAGTAATTTAAGATGTAAAAATTCAGATATTAAGAAGTGACTTCATGTCCCTTTTCATCATGTCATTTAACATACCTCTCATACTCCAGTTTTCTTTCCAATGTAGTGCTATTTTTCTTCACTTCTCTTAGCTGCTCCTCCTGTTTCATGAACTCCTGCTTCAGCTCCTTTAGCTGCTCTGTTTGCCCCAACACAAGCATGCACCCCCATCACACACACACACACACACACACACACACACAAAATATTGGAGAGGTTTAATTTTTGTCTGTTAAAAGCACCACATTTAACTACCTGATAAGTGAGAGACTTTCTATCATTACAGATATCTACAGATAACTATGACCTGGACGAATGAGAACATTCACAGACAGATATCATTACAGATCCTCTATTGAGAGTTTTTGAAAGTGTGTCTTAGAGTGCCCCCTGCTGGCCACGCAAGGCTCACGTCCTACCTTTGAGCCTCTGGATTTCTGTCATTTGGGCAGTGACATCACCCTGCAGCTTCATCTGTACAGAAGAGCGAAAAACAAGGTTCAGGAATCATGAGCGAGAGCTGCAGAATGCTTTGACTTTTATATTGCTAAAACCAGTTCAATAAAGAGTTTGATGACTAACTGGTCAAACAGGATCTCTAATTTGTATGTCACCAGTAACACCAGGAAGCCCAGGTGCAACAGGTTTGTCCTGTTTCCATGTGTAAGGAAGCTTCAAAGCACAAATAGATGGCACCCAGTGTGACATTTCATTTAGTTACTACTAGAAGACATTATGTTCCTGACAATCAAAACCATTCATGTGGATTAGACGTTAAGCCAATGCCTCATTACAGATATCATGCTGGGAAATAAAGTTTTAGGATTTACATGGGAGATTGAAAAATGAAGTATCTCCCTAAACGTTACTCCACAAGTGCCTTGGTAACATGCAGAAAAAATACCAGTACAGATAATGATAACTCATATATAGCTGGTTTATGATCTTTTCGACAGGCTTTTCTTTTCTTTAGCAGTTTACTTAACCTGAGTGACCAAGAAAACTGAAACCCCTGTACATCGGGATGCAATCCAATACTACAGCTCTGTAATAAACAGTGTGATGTGAAACTCTACCTGCATCCCACTCTGATGCTCACTGTGATATTAATTTAATCTGTTGGCTGCTCTTTATTCTGTGTTTTAATAAAACACAGTGTTATGTACATAAACTCTTGAAGGGAGGGAGATGGGAGGGAAACTTCAACTTGATGACCGAAATCAATTCCTGTAGGTTTGAATTGTGGCTGCTTTAAAGATATAGTTTTAAAGAAAAAAACAAAAAACAAAACAGCACCTGTGGTTATCTTTTACATTACAGTGGTGACAGGTTTTATAGCTCACAAAAAACATCTAAAAGCCCACAAAAACTTGCATCATCATTATGTTAAAAAGCATTATTGTTTTATTAAAATACAGATGAAGATGTTTTGCCATATTTTGGCAAAACAATTACTGTTTTTAATATACTGCACAGCTGTGAAGTGAATTATGCCACATTAGGGGTTTGAGAGATTTTCTATAGTTATACTTTATTCCTTTCCCAAAAGGTTATCATCTTTGGAATCCACTGCGACTGTATAAGTTATAATTGACTGCAAGAGAAGACAGTGTGGAGAGAGTGGACAGGAAATACAGCATCACTGTGCAATGTGGTCAAGACTAAAGCTTCAACATGTCATACCCACACAGGCGGTTAAAGGCTTTCCCCTGCAGCCTGCTGAAAGTGGCTGTATCGACAATAACAGCGCCAGACTGTTTACAGAGTGCATGAGAACTATAGGCTTGTATACTTCATTCTTGAACCTAATGGGTACTAGACTATATATACTGTACTGTCTGGAAGCCATTTAAGACACCATGTCACCATTTACTCTGTATTGCAGGCCTCTCACTGTATCCAGCATGCGTCTGTTGAAATAGGGTTGGGCTGTTAACAAAAGAAAGGAGTGGAACAGCTGCTTTTCAACACATACCTTTATCTTGATATTGAAACAAGGAACCGGATACCAGAGTTACTACCAGTACACTCCACCATCTATATTCACTCAAAAAATAAAATCTCTAATCTCTACATTTTTTAAATATCTTCCACAAAGACAAACCATTTAGCTGCAAAGAGGGATTTTCATGTAAAAAAAATTATGAATACAAACATCGAAGAAAAACAAGTTTGTGAGTAAAATATGTCAGTTTGTAGAAGATTATACAGCTCTAGCATAGCAGGCAACTAAACAGAAGGCAAACTCTGATTTGATTTGGCCACTGAATATGGGATTTGGCTCACAAACACAGTGTGTGATGGTTGATGATGTGTGTGTGAAGGAGACACGTTTCAAAATGGGAAATCGTTTGAAAAATTTCTCCATACGGCTGGCAGGATGATAAAAATTTATTATAAATGGGCTAATCTCAGACTTGTTTGCTGAGCATGCATATATATACACATACATTTATGGCTCATTACAAGCAGTGTTATCTTTCTGTTCAATGAGTAACTACCTCCACGTAGATAGGTGATGTGTTGTAGTCAATGATAGCTTGTCAGCAAATGTTGTGCAAAACAAAAAATTGTTACTCAAGACCTTCTGCCAACCTGATATTCCTGCAGATTACCTTGCAAATATGCTTGAGGATTTCCTGTAGAAGTAAGTTTGACAATTTACAATCTAACCTTGCTTGTGATGTCATAAGTCATCTTCTCTTTCTAGTTAGGAAGTAAGGAAGTCAAGACTGGATGCAAATTACAGGAAAACGTCATCCTCATGTGTTGTCTAAATGTCTGCCAGGGCAACTGAATACACACCAATCAATGTTCAGAGGGTGCTTGGACACAAAAGGCACTGAATTGTTGGCTTGGCCACTGTGCAGGACAAAAGGTAGAAACGGCCTTGTGGAGCATAGAGACGGGCTACTCTCAGTGAATACATAAAACCCACCAAATGTGTAAAAAAGTTCTGATTAAAGGAATCAATGAAATATCAATACAGTATAAGAAAGATGAGTTAAGTTTGCTTTTCCTCGCAAATGCAAACATGTCTTTTGTTTAGCCTAATAAGTATTAGAAGATAGGAATGCAGAGAAATGTGGGTTTTAAACAATTAAACTCAGACTAACAGAGGAAAGCAAAACAACCTAGCAAACGGAGTGATTTTTAGTTGACAAAAAAAAAAAATCAGGTGTGTGGAATGAATGTGGACCGCCTAAGCTCATCTCATAATTTAGAAGAGAGCGTCAAACCTATAATGTATAGAGCAAGAAGTAGGTAGGTGCTTAGATGCATAGGGACAGTGAAACGACACCATTACATCTTTTTCTTCATTACACCTACATGGATATTAAAACACTTGAGGTGTGAGCTGTGAAAAATAGAAAAATACTGTGTTAGTGGAGCAGACTTCAGGTGAAAGCAGTGGAGAGGTGGATAAAATTGTGTGGATGAATGAGTTTCCAACCGAGTCGCATTTGTCATCTGCCACTTGGTACCATAGACTACTCAAGACAATCCATTGTCCCATTCATAAAAACTCAATCATCTTGCTTCTGTCTCAGATAACTAACAGCTGATACCCTCCATCTATCATGAGTTATCCAGGTTTTTCAAGTATATGTTCCTTCTGATATAGAGTGGGGAGATTAGAGCATACAATGCAGATATCCTGACGAGAGTATTTATGATATGATGATTTAGGTTATTAGAGAACATGGCCCCCACCCCTACATCAAATATTGTATGAGAGCTTTACGCACTTTCTGCAGGGTTCACTAAGTTAAAGACTTTTTAGGACATTTGTAATACCACATAGAACATAACCTCTTTTTATGGTCATACCAGTCAAAGCATGAAAGTGATTATTTATCATAGTTCTAATGCACACTAGTAAGTAACTCTACTTACCAATTTCTTTTCTAAGCACTTCCCAGTTGTATTTAACAATATCTTTTTATAATATAATTATTAAATCAATAAACATGTCCTGGACTTCGATAAGCAGCAGAAAATGGATGATGGATTATTCAATTAAAAATTAATTCATGTAAGGTCCACATATGAATATTACACAAGGGCAGAGGTCTGGAACAGTAGTGCTTGAGATTTTTTCAGCCGGTTTTGCTAAAATCACATGCAAACACATTTTACAGCTAACATCAAGACATCAAATTTAAGACTTTTTAAAACCTTCAAAGGCCTTTTTGAGGAAACTGAATTTAGTATTTTCAAGATCTGGAGACACCTTGCATTACCCATAACACTACCCAATATACAGACCACTGAATCAAAAACTACTGTGATACTTGAATTTGCCATTGCCACCTTGCTTTGCCTGGGAATGGTTTGGTCAAAGAGCTTATACCAGTCTGTGAAAACTTTGGTTTCCTCGTATAGCATAAGGTGTACCCTCTTTGTGCTATATTTCTGTAAATACTGTACGAGTGATATTAAACTAAACTCCACCGGACACAGGTTGTGATCAAACATCGCCTCTGTACCTTTTCATCAGTGCACTTTTTGATGAGCGCCTCTCGGGCCTGCAGCTTGCCCTCCAGGACGCTGTAGTCTCCATCCTTCTGGTCGATCTGCTTCCTGTGCGTGTCCACCTGCACCATCAGCTCCGAGTTTCGCTTCTCCAGCCGGCTCCGCGCCGCGTCCGTGCGCTTCACCTGCGTCTGTACCTCCGCCAGCTCATCCAGCAAGCGGCCGTGCTTGTTGGACACTGTCCAGTAGTTGAAAGACAGTATGGCGATGATCACCATCAAGAAGATGAGGATGAAAGACGGGAGGCGGCCTCCCCGCCGGTTTGCACCAAACCCAACCATTTCCTCAAAGTATAACGTTACTTCGGATTGTTACCGCAACCTACAGAGCTCAGTGAGAGTATTCTCCCGGTGTAAAACACATCTGTCTACGTGACATGCCGTGTATATGCGGCAACCGCTCCGAAATGCAAACACTACACAGATTCACAGTCATGAATGTTCAAGACTTTCACATTTCTAGTGATCCTTACTCTCCTTCCTCCTTCCGCACACTAGGCATCTTCTCTGCAATTCGTCCTATGTCAGTAGATGAAATACGCCCGCAGGGACGTGGCCTAGCTCAGCTGGCAACGTTAAACACAGCAGACGAGACTAGACGTGGACAGTTGCACGGCTCCGTGGCACCGAGGACTGCAAATACAAATCACAAAGCTAGCTATAGAAAACGCTAGCCTCCCGCTACTCCTTTTCTTTTGGTGGCTCCTTGTGTGTCCTGTAGGACGCTGTTTATACTGAACCCTGGAGCTCCTTTAATCACAGAATACCCGTAAAAACAAGACCACTGATGATGTTAGCTCCAACTAACGTTACCATGTTCAGCTAACCACTTCTCATTAGCTAGCAACAGTAGATGCGAAAGCACAACCAGCAACGGTCAGACAAAAAAAGTATCGTCTCTTCTTGCGTAGGGCGGATGTAATCTCTGTAATACAACTAACCAAAGCCTATCACAGACTAAGGTACAGGTTTTGTATTATAATCTCCACGAACCGCGGCACACCAAACGTGATTTCTGCGCTGTGTGAAACTACCTGCAATCAGTCTGCGCCATATCCGCTACTGAAGTGCAACAACATTTCAAAATAAAAGTGCAAATTGAGCATTCAGCAGCACAAAGAAAGTGTGGCTTTTTGCTTCTTGTTTCTAGCTTTGGTTGGCGCCTATGGGCAAGTTTGTAGACTGTATGCCAAATGTCTAAACTTAGATCTTAAATGATGGACGAAAACCAACGGCCTCACTGTGAAAATAATAAACCCATTTGAAAACATAACTTCAATATAGCGAATAGTGCCCTAAGGCCGGAAGCACGCGGCCGAATGGAAGAGCACTTTACAATTATAATTAAATCAGGGTCCTGATTTAATTATTTATTCATATTTTGGATATTAAATGTTGCGGGACAGTCTTGAAATAAAAGCCTACAAATGCATTATTACAACATTAATGAACAACATTAATTGAACATCCGTTCAAACCTGGTGCACATACCTTGCTTCTCATTAACAGGTTTCCCTTGTGTGTTGCAAAAAGAAATGGTTTTTTAAATGGAAAAGCAGCACTACGAGGCTTTTTGGTGCCTATAATCTAATACTGAAACTGATCTTGTCTTCATACAATCTTATGCCATTTATTCTAAGATTACTAGCGGTATGACTTTTTATTCTATTTTGAATAATTATTAATACCTCTCCCCAAATTAATGCCAGTGGCTTAAACACATTCTGTGCATTGACTAACTGGTGCTGAATACCAATACCAGATAGGCCTATGCCACAAACAGATTAGGTAAGGACTACCTGGATTCTTTCCACTTCTGTAAATTACTTAGAAACTTACCTGTGAGTGAAATATATACAAATCCTTATAAATGCTCAAATTAGTTAAGTTAATTAGTATTGATATTTCCAACCAACTTAAATTAACCCACTTAACATTACTCATGCTGCCTTTGCAACTTTGGTCTAGTTGCTGAAAGTTGACCAGCCTTGGTTGGGACCGGATGCTGACTAGATGATCGAAACACTTGCACACGGACACACATGATCCACAAACATTCATTGAAATGAGTACACAAACCACAGGATACAAACTCAGATTTTATTGTAACACTGATAAGAATTGTAACACAATGAGGTAAGTTAAATAATCCACATCTGTGATGTTTTTGAACCAGCGACACCACAAAATATTCAACACCTTATCAGTAACAGTTCCACAAAGTCTGCAAATAATGGCTAGTAATGCCCAGTCGGTTCTGTTCACAGTTTAATACAAACATATTTCTCTCTCTTTCTTATGAGGACAAGAGGAATACTGAAAACATAATCTCCTTTGTCTTTCAGTCACAGATTCAAACTTACCAGTTGTATATTTGTTTGTTGTTTTTTTTTCAGAGATGAAACTCAGTAGAAAAGATCCCCTGAGGGAGAAACATTCTTTTGTTTTTCTGATGAGAAAGAAGCCACTACAGTCACTGGCAGGCTCAGTCTGAGTTTGCTACCATTTCTGCTGATGACTTGGCACGGTCTCACAGGGCACTAGGAGATGCAGCATGAGAGTACTTCAGTTTGCCTATATTGCAGTCACACTGTACAAATAAATGATCTCCCAATGAAGAGTTATTAATTACTCTACAGACACCGCACAGCGTGTCTGCAACTCCAGCACCCTGAAATGCCCTCAGAGTTTTGACCCGAGTCCTTGCTGGAAGAGTGGTCAGAGAATAGTTTCTCTGCACTCAAGGCTTTGATCAGAGGAAGGGGAGTCCAGTGGGTTGGTGGAGGTGCTGGTTGTTTGTGGGAGGTGTTTTGGACGGCGCATGGAAGGGGACGGGGATGAACTCAAAGCGCCGCAGCTCTGGAGGTGAAGATCCTGGTAGTCTCGCTTCCTCGGACTACCTATGATGCGCTGGGTCATCACCTGGGCAGCAGAAAATTGCCAAGAATCAAAGAGAGACACATGTTGCCACTCATCTGTTTTCTTTTTTTTTTTTTACATATCACTCATACAAGCTGAAATATTCCTTATTCAATCCAACTCCCAGATATGCAAAAATCCAGTTAAATGCATTTAGTTGTAATATGTCTAAGTGCCACACTTTGCTGCAGAACGATGTTAATCTAAAGGAGTGTGAAATATATCTCACTGCTACTATAGCTTTGATCCTGTCATGATGCCATGCTGTTTTATTTTCCATAAAAGAAACTAGCTATACTGTGAATTTTAAATTCATAATCAGAAAAATAAAGAAACCTACAAGTGCACATCATCACCCTAACCACCTCAATTTACAAGCTTTAGTTGTTAACAGCTATGTTATCCAATAATTGTGCAACATGCATGTTAACATGCTATTATTGGTATGTCATGCGGCTCAAAGTACAGCATGTTTAGACAAGTGAAAGCTGAGTCAAGTCTGACAATGCAGGCAGAACCAGCAGAAGGCTCACACTTTTCCAATTTGCATTGAACTATCATGGGCTATTATATACTGTTTAATCCGGTTACCTGATCTATGACATTGGCACTGAAAATGGCCTCCTCCATGTGTTTCTCATCTGACTTGATGACACACTTGATGTTGTTGACAACCTGCTGGACTTCAGGAGGTAGACTGCAGCTTGAATGCTCCAGGAACTTGGCCACCAGTATCTTGGTGTCTTTGTACATCTTCAGGTCAGCCAGGGAGTGCGGGCGTTCGTGGGACGAGTGTGTGTGCAGCGAGCGTGCTTTAAGGTGGATGTCAACTTTCCTGTCGTCCTTCTGCTGCTTCCTGACACATAAGTGACTGGGTTTAGCTCCAACTGCCTCTGTTGAAATGTCTCTTGGCTCTGAAGATAAAACAGAGAAACACTTTCAAAACATTAAATTAATTAAATCACATACAGTTCAAGGCTAATGCCAGTGGAATTAGTGCTTTAGTTAAAGTGAATTCACAGTTCTCGTGTCACTGATGTAGGCTAACACATTTTCATTATCAGCTCACTGTTGCAGCTCAGTTAAAATTGGCTAAGGAGTCTTTCCCCATATGAATGTCTGCATATCACATAGGCAGCTTTCCATAAGATAAGAAACACAGCTCTGTTTTCAGCTTTTATTTTTTTAATGAAGCATTTTTTTTTTAGATAACCCAGTGGGGTTTTAAATGGTTTCTTTATGAAGCATGACAACTTTGCTTAACCCATTAATCCTCTATCTGAGGATTCAAAATCTTTAGTGATGATAAAATAAAAACTTAGATCGTTATGTTGCCAGAAGAACAGTTTGTCTTTGTCAAAATAGGATGTGGTTGTTGTTCAGCAGCAGATGTGTAATATCTGATTACCTCCTCTTCACATGAATTCAAAATGTGTGTGTTCATACCTTGATCTGGTGATGTATGAGCTGAAGTTTCAGTATCAGGGTTATTTGCAGAGGCACAGCCATTATTTTCTCCTGCAGAGGGAGACAAAAAACCAACAGAGCAGGCAATAGCTGGTTACTGGTTAGTGATCCAATATTGCTTGTTGACAAAGGCTGTAGGACTCCCACTAATGATTCACTTCATTATCAGCTTGTCTTCCACTTATTGCCTTGATAAATCAATTCTTTGTTTGGTTCATAAAATGTCAGAAAAAAAGGGTAGGTTTCCAGAGTCAAGGTGATGTCTTCACACGTGTCATTTTCTCAGATTAACAGTCAAAAACTCAGTGATAGTCTATTAACAATCATACAAAACAGAGAAAAGGAGCAAATTCTCACATTGGAGAATCTGGAACAAAAGAATGGTTGGAGTTTATTGCTTGAAAAATGACTCAAAATAATTGATTAGTTGACTAATAGTTTAAACATTAAACAACTGATCATTCTAGTCACACACTTACGTCCTATTGTAGAGGAGCAGGAGATAGGGTCACTGGTGGAGCGGACAATGCGTGCCAGCTTGCGGTACCTCCTGGCTGCTCGGAGCACCCGAGGCCTCTCTGAGGGCGAGTAGCCACTTTGGACTGAGGTAGAGGGGGGTTGTGATGTAGAAGAGGGTGACCAAACACTGAAACACAGCCTGGGGCCACGTGGCCTGCTAGGTGGAGAAGGAGAAGGAGAAGGAGCCAAAGGGCTAATGGCTGAAGTTCCACCAGAGGAGGCCACAGAGGTGGGGGAACAAGGCTGAGGTGGTGGGGGGATACTGACAGGGAGCGTGAGCTTCCGGCTCATCATTCGTGCTTTAATGAGGGAGTGTGGCGACGCTTTAGGTGGCTCCTCTGGTAAATGTTTGGCTGATGCAAGCTCGTCACATATGTGCATTGCAGCCCTGAGTTCTTCACATGGGTGTGTGTTGTCTGTGGAATCCTCCTGGTCCAGATTGCTAAAATTTTCTGAGGACCAGTCAGGAGAGCGTTCCAGAGACTCCTGGGTGTGTGACGACTCACTGTATCCAGTATCACTGGGGCGTGCATCCATGTTAGGCAGGCCACGACGCAAGCGGGAGGAGTCACGTGTACAAAGTTCCAGGCTGGTGCAGCTTCCATCAGTGGGGGCAGTGTGGAGTGTGCCATAGGGAGAAGAGTCAGAGCCCTGGACCTCCAGGGAACACAAGTCCTCTGAGGAGCAAGTCTGGTCCTGATCAGCCACCTCTGACACCATCAGTGATGCACTGTCCACCGAGGCTAAAAATAGGGGAGGGGGCATCATCAGTATGACTACTAGCAGACAAAAATATTGAACAATCCTCTGCAGTATTCACTGCAATGTTGCAACTGTCTTTACCCTGAGTGCTGAGACCTGCAGTGGTGTTTCTGTCGCATAAACTGGACTCAGTAGCCTGTTGCTCAATGCTGGTGGTAACCTGTAAAGAGGAAATTATTAGTGGAGATGCAGATCATAACAATAAAATGCTTTGACTAGAAAGAGAAGATGGAGAGACATGTAGATCACACAGGATCCTTTGTATGGACTGTATTGCATAATAACAACTGTGTGGGACAGAACCTTCAATACCACTTCCTGGTCTGTAGAGGGCTCTGTAAGACCACAACACATTAACACAAATGTCTTAGTTTAAATAACAGGTGTACCAGGGGAGGAAGCTACTCCGTCATGTAGAGTTCAATAAGAAACTCTAATTAGCTTCAATAATGTGCTTTTCAAGGTGCAGTGCATTACAAATATATGCTCATATAACATGGTTTGCCAAATCATATGGGGTCTTCTGCCTATTGTCTGTTCTCTCACTCAATCAATCGATCACTGCCTGCCTCCATTAGCTATTTACAGCTACCACTGCTTATCTATTCCAGGTGAGAAACTCATCTTCTGCTTCCTCTTTGAAGGACACCATTCGAAGTGGATGTGAATAGAACTATGGATTAAACAGGTATAATGGTTATAAGGGATTAAAAGCCTAAAGTGTTAAATGATTTTGGGAATATAATAGAAGATGAAAGAATTTGCTTGCACATGAGACAGTTATTTTTAACTGTTAACTATGAGATGCAGTGAAGCCTGAGATTGAAAAACGTTCTGAACAGTTCAACATGACGGTCATGGGACACCGCCTCAGTAAGGCTGAAACAGCAGATGATACTCAGATTAAATCTGATTTACAGACCTAACAGTCAACATCTCAAGATGCAGATGCTAGAATTTTTCTCCAAAAATGAAATGCATGTATAGTAGCAATACCATTTTAACACATAATTAAAAACAACATTTAGGTCATTTAGCACAGAACATTTGAGAAATCACATCAGTTGGTCAAATTCACTTTTATACTCACATCATCATTTGCTGGCAAGGTTTTTATTGCTCCTGCTCATATGCAATTATATATTATCATTATGTATGGTTAAAATTAAAAAGATGTCATTATTTGTCATATTTTCCTTGGAAACAAAGGGAGGTGATGAGCTGCCCTATGCTCCGTTGCCTTTATGTATTTCCCTCACCTGGCTGGCAGGGGTCTGCCCCACCACGGACTCATATGGAGGTGGCAGGTCAGTAGGGTACAGGGTCCCTGGGCTGTTGATGGGCACCCCATAGATGGCACTGAAGGGAGAATGGGGAAAGTCCAGGTGCAGGCCTCTGCCAGGGACATTAAAGCAGAGATTCAACTTAACAATAAACAAAAAACCCTAAAAATCCAAATCATATCACGAATAACAGAATACAGAGCACAGAGAGACAGGCACAGAGTATTTAAGAAACTGTATATAGCCTATTAAAAACATTAAGAAAGAAAGGAAGGATGAAAAATATAATCTTGTCCAGATGATATATACTGGCACTGTAACTCTATGTGCACCACCACGGTTTGATATGGTGCCAATTAAGAATACACAGCCATGCTCACAGTAATATCTTTTAATTACAACCCCATTCTCCTCTAAAGTGGCAGAGCATGAAATACATCCTGAGAGTTTCCACCAATCATCTGAGGCATGATGATGTCATGACACATCCCTAGCCCTGGGCAGGGACACCATAAATGCTTCCTCTGCCTTGTTTATATTTATGGCGTAACTGACACACAGATATGGCTTCCTGCCAAATGGCTACATCAGCAGCACTCTCTCTGGCAAGACCAAGAGAAAATGGAGGGAGTGATGAGGGAGGGGTCAACCGATCTTTCACAACAACTGAGAATCACGTATGTCACAGCTGCTTAATAGACGGGAAAGGCTCCAAACTGGCCATGGCTGATAATACCACATGTGACGGTTAGACAGTTAGACAGTAGACAGAGCCATGTCACGGCTGCTTAATATGATGGACTTGGATTTGTGTCTGGATGCAAATGTTGCTTTTGAAATCTGTATATTCACCTTCTCGTGGTAAATTCTAGGGTGATTTACATTAAATAAAGATGATAGACCTGTTTTTTAACCTGACAAAATCCCTTAACTTAACAGACACAGACGCACAATACCAACAAGATGTAACAGACCTCATCCTTTTAGCTCCTCCCAAACTAAACATCCTGTTTCTTCGATGTGTGCCCTCTTGAGGGCTTTGTACCCCCAAAGACTTCCCCCCAGTGCCTGACCTATGATCAATTTCTCTAATAACTGTGCAATCATTTTTTCTCCTTGCTTAATTTATGACTACTTTTCTGTCATAGTCTGTGTATGGATAAGGATAGAGATCTGCAAGAAACAGTTATAGGTTCCAATACCTGAATCCTGAATAATCCTAAATATCTAGTAGCCTATGTGTGCTATTGTGCCACTGGGCCAGGTGCAGTATCCTGAACTACTGATCCCTTGTGACAAACCAGTAGAATTCATTAGCCTAACCTCAATTAACCTGTAGTTTTTGTTCCACTTAATATAACAAATGCTAGGGTTGTCTTGAATGCACTGCACTTTGCAAATAGTCATTTATCATTTTCAGTTATTTGGCTGTGCACATTGTTTTAATGTCACAAATGTTTTATGGGATATCATTAACGTGTTAATTTCTACCATGGTGGACAATAAAGCTGATTTGTAGTGTTTTGTATTGTACTGTAATAAGCAGCAACAACCAAAGTTTTGGCTTTTCCACTACATAAATGAAGTGATACAGTGTGAAGTGATACTGAGGATTTAAGAGTTGGGGCTGTGCCAAGTATTTTGGGCTATGAGGCACTTATACATTTTTAAAGGGGGTTCTGATTTACAAGTAGACTATTGTGTATAATTAAATTGTCTTGTATCAGTTGGACTATATTCATTAGGAAATTTGCAAATGACAATTTTTATTGTGTTCTGTTCTGACAGTATCCCCATATCCCAGAACTTACATTTGCAACAGAGTTCAGGGAGCACTGAGAAAAGATGTGAGTAATACCTCACCTCTGTCCATCCATCGAGGGGGTGCAGGTGTACTCTGGGGGGTAGTAGGGCGGAGGGGGAATGGGAGGAATAAACTCATCAAAGTCCAATGTTTGGTGGAGGATGGTTCCATGGGGGGTCATACAGTCGGCATTTAAGGCTCGCGCTCTGTGTGGCATAAACTGAAACACAGCAGAAAAAGAGCCGTTGTCAGGTCTTTATTACACATGAGTCCTTATTCACTATTTTAACCCATACTTTTCCCAGGGGCAAATTACTATGCAAATGTGATCTTGTTACAGCACCTCCCTGCTGTTATTACAAGCAGTTACACATATTTACATCTGTGCTGTTGGTCACTCAACAAGCTCCACTGCAGCAACTACAAGTCAAGCGCCTTGCTCAGGGGCAATTCAACAGCTGTTTTTAAAGAGCTGCACAATCACTCTACTCACTCAGACTTTTCTAAGTGGGACAACTTTTCCAGTCACAGCCAACCTGCTTTTCTAATCTCCAGGCTGCCACTGCTGATATTGACTTGGCTAAATTTACTGAGCTAACACGTCTTTTGGTAAATGGGAAACAAGGCCACTCGGTAAGACTGTCAGGGACAAGACACAATGCTTTTGTCCTTTACTCCTCTGTGAATCAATAGTTGGATGCAACCGTGTTCAGCCGCTTCACCTGATAGGGGTTCTCCTGCTGCATGTGCATGTCTGCCTTGGCGATTACCTTTACCAAATACTGTAATTTCCTAACTTCATGTGAGTCTAGTGTCTTCATGGCATGTCTGTTCATTCAAATACACTCTGCTTTACATAAAATAATATGCAAAAATACTCGTATGTATGTATTTATACCTGCAGGTGTCCACAGTAAGGATGCTGTGAGAATGATCTGTCTACATCTCAGATAATCTGTGCTGGGCACTGAAGCACAGACTGCTGTGAATTAAGGCCTTATGTCAAGATGAGAACGATTTCCCATTTCCATTTTAATTGCTGTGCAATACAAACAGCTTCTGATGAATTCATCTTTGCCCTCTTATCATTATATGCATCTTCTTTAAAAGGAATAGATTTTGTGTGAAAGAGTATTAAAACACAATGGTCTGTTTTATTTCTATGACCCTTCCCCAGGGTTCAAGAAAGTTATTATCCAAATGTCTATCCCAGTTTAAAGAATAACAGAACATAACTAACTAAATTAATGTCAGAATTATATATAGTTGCTTAATATGTTTTTATAACGGCAATCAGATTTGATCGTGTTCTTTTTATCATTGCCTTCAGTTGCCTCAAAAATTACAGACTTCACATCAGTTAGCAGCAGTCACATAAAACTATAGATCTTCAATGATGTGTAACTTGCATGAAGATGACACTAACAGTATACTCCATACTCTAAGTTCAACTTAGTTTATTGCATTGGCTAATAGCTGAGATCAACTGAGGATTTCCCGTTTCTTCAAAACTCACATCAAGCCCCGAGTGCCAATTTTATCATCCACACTCATTTCAGCATGGACAAACTTTACAGCATAGTTCATAAAATGTGTAAAATCTTCTTGCACCGCATTTTTACAGCAAAGCAATTTCATATCTGGTATGGTGTTGGCAGTGTTGCCCTACCTCTCCAGTTGTTGATGTGTTTAGAGGCATGCTTGGCCATGCTAATTTCCCTCATGACTGAAAGCATTTAGCTGCTGGTAATAGTTTCATTGTTTCACATAAAATGACAAAAGAGGGTCATACTGAGGATGGTGTACCTCTGAGGAAGGAAATCCATTGAGATGTTAAGCTGTTTTCTTCGATTCCAACATATTGTTGAGATGCGGGGGGACACTGAGGAGGGAGGTCCTGATGGCAATTGACCTTCACTGTGTGTGTTTATATTAAGTTGTATTTACCAAGCAGGATGATTCAACCAAAAAATTCAAACATTACTCTCCCACCATCTTAAAAAAAAACGGATAAAGGCTGGCACATCATTCCTGACCCTGCATGTGTTTACCTAACCTGATGATGGTGATCTTCAGACTTCAGGGTGGTCACTGAAAAGAAAATAAAGTCAGCTACTGTCGTCGCCATCCCCTCCATCACCACTCACCATCTGCAGCACATCAGTTGAGACCATTTGCATACAGCACATGGCAGTGGCCAGAGCACACACAATGGTGGAGATGACGTTAAGGGCACATACGCTGAACAGCAGCTCCTAAAGTAGAGCGGGGAGAGGAGGAGACTATTAGAGGAGCAGGGAACAAAAGAAGAGGAGGAAGAGTGTGGAGAGACGACGGGGGTGTGAGAGAGAAGGTGAGGAGAGGAGAGAGGGAGAGAAGACAGTTGATATTGTGAACTTATTAAATATGAGGGATATTAGAACAAAGACAAGTGAATACGGGATATAAGGCAATAAAAACACACAAAAGATTGAAGGTGACACAAACGGCACTGACGTCGTCAGTAAGGTAACTAAGTTTAGAACAGCAGGGCGACAAAACGGTGAGAGAACACCTCTACAGATAACTGGTTTAGTAAGATAAGCAAACAGCAGTAAAAAGAGTCCAATCTATATGGTTAACATATTTAAAATACATTCAAAAACTGTTTAAAAGAAATATGATGTCTGTGTACATGATTGCCTAACAAAAAAAAACTCAATTATATAGGGAAAACAACCTCATAATTATCCAAGGTTAAGCACGAGCATATACATGTTCACACTCTGGCAGTGCAGTGAACAGCAAGAGGACAAACCACTATTGAATCTGTCAGCAAAAATAAATGTGCATGTTGGTGAAATACTAGCCTAGCAACCCGAATCAGAGAAAAGACTTATGACTGCAGTGCCATTATGCTGCTGTTTGTGCTATTTGTCTAAAAGGTAGAAAATAATGTTTAAGTGGGTCCATTTTTAAACCACATTGCGTTTTGAATGTCCTAACAAATCAACCTATAATAACCGTTCTGTATGAATCCTGTTCCTGAAGCAGCGCACAGGAACAACAATCCCACTTGCCTGGAAATTGACTATGGGAATAGCAACTGTCTGGCACACAGATCGAGAGGAGAGGATGGCAGCAGCTTCTATTGCTGCTTCAAAATGAGAAAAAATAAATATCATGTACATATGTGTTTAAAATTGTTCTCTGTGATCAAGAGTCCTCTTATATGTTTGAATACAATTACATAACATACGCTCCTCTTCTTAGTAAAGTTCACCAGGTTCATATGTGAAAATAAAATTCACTTAAACAAATGTGTGATGCATGATAATATTATTATCAGTGCTATTATTATCAAACATTATAAGACCATCAAATGATGAGAAGGCTGAGGAGAGAAAGCCAAAGCAGTGGTGAATATGTGGCAAACTTTTACTTTGTGATATATTATGTATATATGAATTATATTAGATTGAACAAAGCTGTCCCAGAATATCTATAAATATAACAATATTACTCCTTAAACACAAGAATAAGAAATACATTCAGCACTGGCATTAAAATCCCACTACATGTACACTTTTCTTTTTTTGTAGGTACAGGTTCATTAAGGAAACACCCAAAAAACATTATTTTCCAGCCTGTCGCACAGATTATTGACTAGATTCAGGAGGCACAAAATTACCAGTGACATTAAAAACACCACTTGTGTTAGCCTTCTGAAAATCTGCAGTGAGGACAGCCGTCCCCCCTTGCTGAGGTCTGTATGAAGTAATGGTTTGTTTTCAGGGTGCAGGTACCTTGATTTCCAAAAGGAAGTCCCACCCAGATCCAATGATTCACTTCCCTTCCCTTTAAAGTACTTGATGTTAAATGGATTAAATTGGCAAGTGAGAAATTCAGAATTACCAGCCCTGCAACTGTTTTTCAAACATGTTTGATATCCAGTAACTAGCTGCCAAAGATCAAGTCTGAGTGAGCTGGAGGTTAAAGCAGAGATGATGCCAGTTGGAACCAGTGAGGTTGAAGTTGTGCAGTGCCAAACATAAAATACAACCAACTCATGTTTGTCTTGGACGCTAACAGTTTTGGAACATGTTTTGTGTTGGAGGAAAGTCTGGAGGATTTGTGGACGAAGCACAAGTCTTTCTGACATTTTAAACTGAAAATCACAACCAGTCGTTAAGTAGAGCTGGTGAAAGGAGACCTGCTTTTAGCTTAGTGAGAATTACAGTGTTTTACACGACTGGTGTGAAGACTGACAAGGGTGAAAGTGAAGATTCAACCTTTTAACATATTGAGGCTTCAAGATTGAAATACCGTGTTTTGTACTGTAAAGTTTTGTGTAATTGCCCAAAGGCAAAATATATGAAAGCACTGGAGGGAATAAAGCATCATACATTGGAGATGAGTGGTGCCACTTTTAATGTCGCTCTATTCCAATGGTGCCTGACGTCCACCTTTGCTCCCGTCATAATTACCATGGCCACTAGAGGACTTTGTCACTTCAATGTAAGAATGTCATTATGGGGCAATTGCTGAGAAGACAGATGCTGTGTGACACGACTGCTGGATGTTGCTTAGCAATAAAACGTAACTACAAGTCTTAATAAGCTGCTTGCACAAAAAACCCATAGGGCGTGATTTAAGGGAGGATGGTGTCTTGTGATGACCAAGTGGCTATTGGTTTGAGTTCATCTCAGCACATTTAACATCAGATGTCAGTCTGCCCCTAAAAATGCATTACGACACAATTATAACATTTTTTTTTATTTTTTTAATTGATTACAATAAAAGAGTCGTGATGTTTAATAAAAGAAGTTATGATGTTCACCCTAAAGTCCCAAGCTGCTGTAAGTCAATTTCTGCCTTAAAAAGGCAGGGACACCAACTGAAAAAACTTTCAAAAATGGCTGACATTTATATCAATGAGATTTGTAGGAGCTAAAACATAACAAAATACTATATGGTGATTTGATTCCACATTGGCAGTGAGACCTGTATTCAAGACAGCTACTACTAACTCCCTACAAGAGTGGCACCTGCTGCCCAGTTTGACCACAACCTTACAGTGGCAGATTGCATAGCACTATGCCTTCCACAGAGCTTAATTGTTTTTTTCAAATCACTGATGCTCATCTGTTATCTCTCGAACCGTGACGTTCTTGACCAGAAACAAACTACACACATGCCTCCAAGTAGCTGCTCCCTCTAGCCCCCCCTCACAGCAAAGAGAAGCACGCTGCTTTTCTCCAGCCAACATGGAGTTTCTGTTGATAGTCTCAGTGCAGGTCACAGCACTGACCTCCTGCTTTCCTCGGCATCCCCAAGCAGCTCTTTACAGTGTCTGACAGAAAACCCAGGACATCCCCCAGGAAGCCCTATAGCAGTTTCAGGGAGGGCAGTCCAGTCTGTTGGCAAAGCCCCTCAGAGATTTTCTAACATCCAATGGCAATGGCAGGAAGCAGCAGTTGTTGTAGCTCTGTGATGCCACTTCCCATTAAGTATTAAATTCACAGTCTCAGTAGTAAAGGAAAAGCTGTTTTCATACTAAGAGTCTTGCCCCTCCACACAAGTTCACCTCTGATCTACAGAGCATAGTGCTGTGGTAGCCCATACAAATGTGATCTTATTGATTCTTTTTTGCCGCGTGGAGCTGGAAAGCTTTTGCTCTGGAGTGCAGGTGGATCACACCCTGAACTCCTAGATGGACAGGAAGTGTAGAAAATAACATCTTATCCACTGATGCCCAAAAGAAATAGATGTTGTTTTTTTGTATTTCTGCCTAAAAGTTATTATGGAAGGTTAATAGTTCCTCAAATACTGAGACCAATGTTTTTCAACTCAGGTACAGCTTAATCAGTTTTATAGGGTCCTGACACACCACCCACCCTCTACTAGTCTACAAGTAGTGCTGACAAACATAGACTGGTGATCCTCATGTCACCTCATATCCATGGTAAAAATGTGAATTTACCTCAAAGACTAGATCTCCAGCTGGCTGCTGACATGCATGCCTGTCCTGCACCTCTATGAGAGGAAATATAGTAACTAACCCTACTGCTGAACACCAGGGACAAAGATGCAAATAAATCTGGAACTTCAGTCTATGTGCATGTGAGTCAGTTTACTGAAATATGTTCACTGTCAATCATTTATCTGTGTCTATGACAGTAAATGTAGTTTTTCCAAACAAATCCTCTGACAGCAAAGCTGGAGATCATAAGTTTCAAACTGCAAACATCTTGTAAAACAAGAAATATTCAGGATGGCTTCATCTGAGTATTTTTTTTGTTATGGTAATCAATCTGCCTTGCAGATATGAGACGGTGCATTTCTGTGATTTCCCTTGTGACCACAATGTACATAATGACGTAATAAATCCTACAAGGCAAATGTAATGATACCCCTAGAGAAACTGCTTAACATGCCTGCTCACCTGATATTTAACCCCTAGAAGATACCTTGCCCCGAGCCAGTCAGTTACACAGAAAGGTTACACATCCGCCCCCTTGCAGGAAATCACAAATTATCTCAGTACTCCCTCCCACTGATTATTTACAGCCTTAGGCAGTGTAACGAACAGAAAGAGAGCAGGGAAATTAAATGTGCTGGCAAAAGGTAGAATGACACATATCAGCAGCAATGTGGATAAGTCTAATTGCCTTTTTAAAAACAAAACTTTTACATGTAGAAGAGCTGCTGTCAAAAATGAGTTAATAAGCAAGGGAGGGTGGTCTGGTGTACTACTTAGTCTACCTGCTGTGATAATTCAGTACCCCCCATGTTCTGTGTATTTTCATGACAAAGGAACTATATGGCAGCTGCGGGCGAGTTCATTAGGATCAACGAAAGCCTAACAGCCATCTGAAATGGCCGAGGACTCTGGGGACTTGGGCGTGACAGCTTCCTCTTAAACATAATTCAACACATCTGACCACTTTGGCACTTAATAAAGGTTTATAGCACCAATTCCCATATCTCTTTTAATGAGCTATGATCACAATGACAAATGTGCTTGATCTTTCCTCTTTTCATAAGCATGCTTCATCCTAAGAAGTCTTTTATTTGGTTATCAATGTTTTATAATCAATCAGGGACATAAAATGAATGGATATGATTATCGTTATCCAATAAAGGCACAGTAGCACATACTGTATATCATTCCTGCAGACACACTGAGTCAAGATAATCTACTGAGATCATGCACCAGCCCAGGCTGGATACACACTGCATACTAAAAAGACTGCCTCTTGGGGAAAGACAAATGCTGTTGCCATTCTCCACTTCCTGCTCAATTAATCTGAGACTGAACACTTTGTTTGGTATTTTATGTCATTTGACTGTTCTCACAAGGGATATTTTACACAGCGAGAGATGGACACTTGGAGACATCAGATCGAACAACTACTGACTGCTACCCAAGTTATATTGTATAATATGGTATTATCAGAGAAGTAACAAGACGAGTCTGTGGTCATTCCAATGGCTCTGTGAGGCTGCACTAAGTTACATCATTGCTTTGAGCTAAATGCTAATGTCAGCATGCTATCATGCTCACAACAGCTATTCAAATGTGCTGCTGTTTAGCAGGTATAATGTTATCCATTTTAGTGACTTAGCATGCTAATGCTAATCAGCATTATAAACACATTGGACAAATGTCCAAAAGTGAGCTGTGTTAAACACTTGCACTCACAATTAAGGGCCTATAGGTGACAATAACTGTGAGTGCATGTTGAAAGGTAAAATTTACAGTCAGTTGCAACTTCTCAGTTTCAGTTTGTGCTTTTGAATGTGCACATTTCTGACTTACGTAAAAGCAACTCTACTGGCAGTTTTTATCAGTGTGGTCTCTATGATATAGATAGTAATTTTCTACTGAGAGAAAAGAATAGGGGATATTTGGAGTTATCCATGACTCAGAAACTGCCATGATATGTGTGTCTGACTGCACAAGCATAACCCAATTTGTCCATTTTGGGAGCAGGACTTTAAGACATATACTTACATGGCAAATTTTAAAACTTCGAGTTCTACCAAGCTGAGACAGAGCAGATGGATTTTTTCTAATTCCTATGCCCCTGCGCGCAAGAAAACTTTGAATGTTAATATCGTCTCTTTGATTTTTTTCCGCACTTGAGCCATAGCCTCCAGAGTATTGTTTAGAAGCAGAGAGCATATTAAGAAGTGTTGTCTTGGATACTGGTACCTGATCGTTTGATATGATTCTTTCTGTGGAAAGCAAACAGTCTGAATGATGATAAAAAAATGAACTCTCATGTGAATAGTGAAGGGGTAGTTAGGTTGGCTATTATTCATAATTACTGAGATATTAAAACCAGGGGGAGTATCATAAAAATGCATCTGACTCATGACACCTGGGTCCGATCCATTTTTATGATGCGGTTTTTGCAGTTATCTCTCAGTCTGGCTACCCCATTGGATTCACCAACACCAACAATAGTGACATCACAGAGTGCGACTGAAACATGGCTGCAGCCTGTATACATCAGCACATACCCTTCTTACTGGGTGCAACACATGAATTAATACAGTGAGAAGACACTGTCTGGCTACAATGATGCACTGTGTTCTACAAATGTACTCAGTGTACATATGATGTTGTTACCATAGCTACCAGTGTAGACAGGTTAGATGCCACAACACCAATCCAATATGCAGTTTGATCTGCACTCAGTTAAAGACTGGATTTGAGAAATTAATCCAATTTCACTGAGTCCAAACACATTCCAACATGACAGAATGTATTTTTTTTTTTACATGTGAAAATACCAAAGCTCTCACATCCAGCGCTATGTAAACACATGCAGGCTCCCACGCACCTTGAGACGGAGGCGTATGGTATTGCAGTCCCTCAGTGGATTCAGTTTCAGTGTCTCTCCCAGGTTGTTGCAGCTCGAACTCTGCTGCTGTAGCTCGCAGCATACACACACTCCATCGCTGTCAAACTTGAGCTGGTGGGGAGGAGGGGGGAACACACATCCGCACTCATGCATGAAAGCCACATACACAAACACACACACACACACACACACACACACACATGCACAGAGACAAACAAACAAACAAACACACAGGCACAGATCAGACCTAAGCTTAGTGTTCTGAAGTATTTTCTCCAAAAATAACATTGTGTATGTTATAAACAAGGTTGTATATGAGCTGTATTTTCAATAAAAGTATGTTGTCAAAAAGACAAAATACACATGAGAATAATAATATATTGTGACGGAGAAAGGCAGCTGCACTTCAAGTGTACAACAAGACAAAGACTGTAAGATATGAGGAGCTACCCAGGGAGGAATGGAGGTAGAGCATACCTCTGCTATGTGTCCCAGATAGAGAGAAAGCAGGACATGAACCCAACAAGTATGGGTTAATTACATTGGGGAGAGGAGATGAGGAATGTTAATATTTCAGTCACAACTGGGGGACGGTCTCTCGGGAACCACACAAAGCAGTGAAGTTGGTCTACTCAGCTTGTGTAAGGAGAAAAGCTGCTGCTAATGTGGAAGTGGTTGGGTTAGTGGGTTGGGTGCTGGATGAGTCACAAGGGACTTCTTCAGTTTTGAAAAAGATCAGAACCCCTGGTGCTGTAAATTCGACTTAAAAAAAAAAAAAAAATCAGCTTTGCATCTCATTATGAAAATGTGAAGCTGATCACCAGCTACAAGCAGAAAAAGCTTAGTAAGCCTTATTTTGAAGTGTGCTGGATTCTCCTGTTTTCCATGGTGTTAACACCACTGCTGGAAACACCAGAGTGGAGAGCATCTGGTTGAAACCACTTGTGAAAAACTTCACTTCATTTAAGGGTGAATTCCACCATTTTTACGCATGAATCTCAGTTTACCAGTCACAGGGAGCAATACTCAGTGAGTCTGAGACAATAAGATGATATTATCTCCTGTCTTTGGCTTGGTAACAAAAACTTACAGTGCATTACACTTCATCAATACTGGTACACTGGAGGTGTAATATCTAATGTCTGGAGTATTCCTTCAAAGTTGTTTATCTGTTTTTTCGCAAGCTTCAGTTCTGGCGAAGATGGAGGTGACAATCATGAGCCATTAGTCACTAACAGACAAAGCTCTCTTTTGCTGCTGACTCAGTTGTGCAGCCTGCTGAGAACAGAAGTGCTGTCAATGTGGACTCACGCTCACACTGACTTCATAGTGACTGGCTTGACTGTTGATACCAACTACAACACTGCAACAACAAAATATAACACAAGCTGTGCACTTACAAGTGAAACCCCACAGCTTTTGAGGTGATGCAACTCATTCCAGGGATGAACCCTCTGAACCCTGGGCTGTTTTCATCTTTATTTACAGGCTTGAGGTAAATAAAGGAGGCCATTTATTGTATTTTCAGAGTCTGCTAGAGTATGTTTGGCTATAAATTGTTTTTTTTTTTTGTAGGGTTAGGGTTAGAGGTTTCAATATACAGTAAATATTCATATGGATATGAATATATGAGTGTCTGTGTTTGAAGATTATAAGATGCATGTTGATGGGGCTCTCTGAGTCTTGCAAAGCTTAAAACAGATGATATTGTTAGTTAGGCGTGGCCACACCTGAGCCCTGTTTTTTTAAAAAAATTTTTTTATACATTTGAGCAAATCTGCACCATGGAAGCTCAAGTTGGAGATACTGATATCACTGCAAAGAGTAAGTTAGTCTGATTTTTCATGCATATTGCATTAATCAGGTTCAGACATTTGATTCAAGAAAAAAAAAAAAAAAAAAAATTGTACAGTATATATCATCCCCTCTTTTTCAAGTGTATAAAGTATAAAGAGTGCATGGCTTAAGGTCCAGTTGGTCTCACCAGCTGACAGTCTTCCAGAGAGTTGACCAGCTGAGCATTCTGGCAGGAGAGGATGGAGCCCGCCAAGTTGAGCATCACACACACTGCTGACAGCAGCATGAAGAATGTGATCTGTGACAGAGGAAGAGGAGAGAGAAGGGAAGAGAGAGACAAATGGAGAAAAAGAAGGACAGCACAATGTCAAAATGTTGCTGCTTACTAACACCGATTCAACACTCTTTTTGATACTGCATGTGACAGCAGCTGTAATCCTAGAGGCGCAGTGTACTTTGCTAATCAATCGTCACTCACAGCGATTTCAACAGATCAGAGGAAGAGGAAATGAGCGCTGATGTGGAGAGAAATCGATAACCTGTTTTTCCTCAGACCTCCAGAGTCTGAAGACGAGAGAAATCATAATTACAGAAAAGCTTTCCACCCAATGACACAAGAAACAATTTATTGACAGATGAAAATTCTCCACCCACAGTTAGTCACAGATCCACATGCACACACACTAATGCCACAGAGCTAATATTTCTCTACACCCCAAGCTGACAGAGCTGGCAGCTTAAGTCTAGTGTACTTCTACTCTAAACGTCCCCTTGGCCTCTATTGGTCGGGGTAAAGGCTTCTTTTTATTTTCTAGCCTAGCAGAAATATGACTGCCGTTTCTGGTACTTTAAATTACAGGTCAGGCGTAACAGAAAGAGTTCTAAAACTGACAGCAGACAACCAGCCCGCTCTGTCCAGGAAATTGTAAACCAGGCACCAGCTTTTTCTGTTTTGTGGGAACATGATGACAGCGGCAGAGCTCAACAAACTCATAATTGGACAATTTAAATAAAAATCACAATAATAGCCTATCTTCAAAGTTTGTTTTTACAAAATGTTGGAAAAAAGTCCGGGAATAGTGTCCGTGGAGGACATTAAGGAGGAGTTAGACAGATATGAAGGTTGCTGAGAACACACATACACAGATGGAGAGGAGGAGAGAGGGACAACAGTGCAGGAATTGGAGGTGGCATGTAATAAACAGATGGAGCGATAAAGTTT